AGCCAGACATATGCACCACATGTGTGGAGGTACCCCCAGAAGCCAGAAGAGGGTTTCTGATCTTCTGGAACTGAAGGTCCAAGAAATTGTGAGTCATCAGATGTGTGTTGGGACTTGAACCCAGGTCTTCTAAAATAACCAAGTGCTCTTAGTGGTTGGTCCATCTCTCCAGCTCCAAAGCTTTCAAATTTTAGATCCCTTAAAAATATTGAGTGAAAATAAACTTTAAGTGACAAAAATTTTATAGGTTCTTTTAAAAACTATTTCACTTTATTTTATGTGTATAGGTATTTTGCTTGCATATCTTGTCCCTGGGAATTGAACCTAGGTCCTCTGGAAGAGCAACCAATATTCTTAACCTCTGAGCCATCTCTCTAGCTGCTCCCACACACATTTACAGTTCCTTACAAGCTAACTTAACAAAAATTTAAACTGAAATACTAGGTAAGGTTTTTGTTTTTGATGGTGTAGGGGGAGCAGCAGGTCCCTCTACATAGCCCTGATTGTCTCAGAACTCACTATGTAGACCAGGATGGCCTCAAACTCAAAGACAGCCACCTGTGCCTGGCTCCTGAAATTAAAGGTGTGGGCCACCATGCCAGGCATTTTTAAAATAAATAAATAAACAAAACTAAGGATCATTCTTTTTACTATTTTATATATTATATATGATTATATCCAAGGTAGGTAACACATTTCACCCATATACTAATAAATTATGAATCTGTATTTAAAATTTTAATGCTTTAATTTTAAAAGCTATTTGTGGAGCACAAACCTATAATTCCAAGGACTTAGGAGGTGTGAAATAGAATCTCCAGTTTGAGGTTAGCTTGGGCTACACACCAAGTCTGAGACTAATACCTATCGTCTTTTGCTGTATTAAATTCTGACTTTTATGGCAACAGCTTGATTTAGAGGGAGAATGGCAGCCTGGAGTCTGACACTGTGTCAGACTTTGGTGAATGTGACAACTGGCGAATCAGAACATTTCTGAGTTTTAGCTTTTCCACCTAAAAAACATTGGATGTTATCAGGTATTTTAGAGCACACCTTTAATCCTAGCACTTGGGAAGCAGGGGCATCTGATCTCTGTGAGTCTAAGATTGGCCTGGTCTACCTAGTGGCCAGTCAAAGCCAGAGTGAGACTCTTTCAACAAAAACCAAAACCACTGAATATGGTCAGGGATTTAAAAGGGCCCAGGAGTGAACTACTGTCATTATTCTGTTAAGTGGGCATAGTATCAAACTGCCTTCTAAATTCTTATCTCTACAGCAATAGATTAGCACATTTCTCAGAACTGATCAGAGAAGTTTCTTTGTACAGTGGATGGTGGTTAATACAGACATTTCTGATTGATCAAAGTACAGAGACTAAGAGTCAACAGAGTCAGCCACAAATGCGACATCCTTATCACACCCCTCCCCAAAACTAAGGGACCACTGTGGAAAGTGGTCAAGGAGATCTGGGGCGAGACAGCCTTCTGGACATGACAGGACCACTGAACTCATGAACTCACAGAACTGTGGCTGCCTGCACAAGCCCAAGCCAGTGAACATGCTAGCATGGAGTGGGGAGGTGCTTATGAGACCCCATTCTTAACTGAGAAACTACTGACAGTTGATGGCGTCTAGGGAAGGAAGAGTCAGCTTTCTTTAAGGGTGTGGCCACCATGTTCCAGCAGATGGTCCTATACTCATAAGTATATGGGTAACTCATTAGGCAATGGTAGGTTATTAAGGTAGGTCAAGGACACCAAGTTGAAAGAGGGTGGGGAGGTAGGGGTGGATTTGGGAGGAGTTGGGGGAATATGAGATCAAAGTATAATGTGTGAAATTCTCAAAGAATAAAATTATATTAAAAATTTGTCTGTTTTGCTATAAGAAAAGTCAATCTAGCACTGCCAAGGTAATACAAGAATCAAATACTTGCTGTTTTCAGCTAGAGGACGTAGGTGGCTAAAAGCAGAGGGACTTTGACTATATTCTCTTTTATATCTTATTGGGTTTCTTCAAGTATTATTTATTCCCAGGATAAATATGTTATTAACATTCATTCATAACACATTTAGAGAGATTTTTTAAAAAAATTTGTTTTTTTTTCTAATATTTGGTTCTCAGCTATTGTCACCCTCTCTTCCAGCCTCATTTCCACAGTAATGATGATTTTTATATCAATTAAGTATTCTATTGGGAGGCAGAGGCAGGTGGATCTCTGTGAGTTCGAGGCCAGACTGGTCTACAAGAGCTAGTTCCAGGACAGGTTACAACGATACAAAGAAACCCTGTCTTGAAAAACAAAAACAAACAAAAAAAAAGTATTCTATTAAAAAGAAATTTTAGGGGCTGGACTGGAGAGATGGTTCAGTAGCTATGAATACTGGCTGTGCTTGCAAGGAACCCAAATTCAGTTCCCAGAACCCATATCTTGCAGCTCACAATTGCCTGTTGCTCTCCAGGGGATTTGATGCTCTCATTCTCTGTTTGTCTGTCTGTCTGTCTCAGATATATACACATGCACATCTCCCCCCACATTAAATATAAATTAAAAATAAAATCTTAAAAAAATCTTATGTAGGCAATTCTGCTATAGTCTGTTGGATAACTGTAGGATTATATACCATTATTTATATAGATAATATTACCTTTGGTAGAATGCTAATATATCTATGTTTTCTCAACCTATTGCCCTTGAGATCAACACTATTTGTGAACCTCAGGATATTAAAATGGTCACAGTAGGGCAAACTAACCTTCAGTGAAATTGGATCTCCAATCTTGGCACTGTTTTCAGCGAGTTCATTCAGATACCCACTCAAATGAGATATGCACTGGTAATAAATAATTCATTTAGGAAATTTTGGTACTCATATCAGAATTATAGTACACTGGTTTATTTTTTTAAGTTATGTTTTTTAGATAGCCTGACGATTTTGCAGTACAGTACTTTAGCTATGCAAATTTCATTGCTGCATCATCATTCTGTACATATTGCTTGAAGATCTATTGTCCTCAATATGCCATAAACTTGCTGAAGGTAGGATTCACAGTTTTGGAGGCATCTGGCATGTGAAGGTTTTACAGGCTAAACCCCACTTTAAAGAAAACCACTAAATACCTAAAATGCCCAACTAATAAATAACATGAGGTCTTAACAGTCTTAGACCTCCATGAGTAACTTCTCTGCACTTCCATAATTTGGTGGAACTAAGTATCAACTCCATCCTGGAGGTGAGAAATCTGACATTCAGGAAATGGAAGATACACTCACACTCAAAGTCATACAATAGGTTAGAGATAAAATTAAAAACTAGAGCTGTTTAATCCTCAGGCTTAAGCTTTTTCATCCCTGTGAGGTCAGCAAAGGAAACATTGTCTTAACCTGTGAATAATGGCTTGATTGCTAGGGCAGAGAGAATGGGTGGGTATGCTGACACCGTTCACAGTTTTAAATCAAATGGTATTACAGATACTATATAGTATTTACAACTATAACTCTTGTTCCTCTTTGCACTTTTCTGAGTGTTGAGGTCTGAATAGCATTACTCTGAAATCCCACTCTGATACAGTCAATATATAAATATATCAACTTGAATCTCACACTATACCTAACAATTTTTATTGCCCGGTTACTTGGGCAAAAGAATTATAAATTGGTCCATCTTAAAACTGAATAATTTCAAAATAAAACTAAGTTACTCGGAAACCATCATCGCAGGTACCTGTGTTTTTGGGGCACAACTGGTACAATTGGGATTTTAAAAAGAATCTTAGGTTCTTTTTGAGCCAACCACTCTTTCTTTTTATGCCTATACAAACCTGAGTGTCTACTTGGAACCCTAATTTTTACAAAATGTTACCAGAGCAAGAATATCACGGCTTGCAATAAGCTTGCAAATTTTCGGAATGAATCCGGACTGAAGAACCGGTAAATATACTTCTACAACGGAAAAATGTCTCAGGTGATGATAAAAGTAAGTGATTGAAACTGTATGGTGGGTACCACAAAAACTCTGAAAAATTCCGTAAGATAAATCCTAACCCCCCCAAAAAAATCATAGTTTTCAACAGAGACCAATTTACTAATATGGAGACCATGAAGAAACAAGAAAATCATAAAGTTGACGGGCCCAAGATCTTACTTAGCACAGGATGCGTTATGGGCTGCAAGGATGAAAAGAAGCGTCCAACAACATAAATGAGAACTCTTCTTTCAGATCTATATGCACTATAGTAAACTTTGGGTGGGAACTAAATAGGAAATCCGAGTTAACTCTCTTAAGCATTATTTAGCTAGAGGTGCAAGAAACAAGAACGACTCCATCCTTCATCACGGCAGAAATGACAAAGTGAGGGCACGAAGAATAAAGGCTCGACAAGGTCCGTTTCTAACCCTGCCCCGGGGAGCTCGATCGGTTCAAGGAGTCGAATGTGGTTGCCTGGGAGGAGAGCCTGGAAGGGAGGGCGCCAAACCCCAGCCCTCACGGCCACCCACCCCGCCTCTCACCTCTCTGGGCGCAGCTTAACTGGGGCTGTCCGAGCAACTGCCGCCATCACCATCGCCATCACTGGGCGCTCGCTTTTAGCAAGCGCGGAAGGCAGGCCCGGCCACTCCCGCTCCTCATGCAGCTCCCGCGAGGCGGATGCTCTCTGTCAGCCCCCGCCCCGCTCAGTCAGCCCGGCGTCCGACTCGCCGCTGTCTCCGCCTGCTCTCCCGGGACCGCCACCACTTCCGGGTTCAGCACCGCCCCAGCCACCGCTCGAGGCTTTGCGGCGGCGCGCCGCTGACGCCAGCACCCGGCGACCTCGGTCGGGACCTGCGCTGGGCGG